GCTCCGTTCTACCTGATTCCCATTCACAAAAAGTGAATTTGGGATCCCAGTCCCGTTGCCATAAAGCAATTTGGACCTCAGTTTCCAGCACCTCAATGCTACTAGTGTCTATGGGAGGTACAGGCATTTCAGAAGCAGAGATGGGAATGGGAAAATTTGTGAGAACCGGAGGGTTTGGCTCACTAGAGAGAAGCGAGGGTTCACATTCCTTATTTTTCTCCAGAGCTGTCCGTATCACTTCCACCGCCCTCTTTTCTGCCTGACACATTAACAATTCATTATGAACCACTCTCCAAAGTTTACTCATTTTCTTGCCTGGTTTATCCTCATCTAACACTAATTCCCACAACTTATCCCCATATCTTCTCCATTCTGAAAGTTCATGAACACTATGGGGGTTAATGAAAAAGCCGTAAGACTCAGCATGATGCAATAGCGAAGGGAGATCCTTATCTAAGTCAATCCCCCTAATCTGCCTTTTTCTAAGAGAAGCACTAAATAAATCATATGCTGCTTGCCTTTCCATGATTACGTCGGTACCGTTGCTGGCTCCTTCAGGCTTCGGCAGCATGTATCGGCTGAGCCCGCCTCTACGGTCACTCAGGGCGCGGAGCAGAGCGTTTTGCCTCTTCTCTTTATTTTCGCCGTCCTTCCAGCTGCAGGACCCGAACTCCAACGCAGCACCTCTCTCGCCTTTGGCTCAGATGAAGTCCCTGTTTTCGGGCGCCAGTTGTTGGAGGGTGCCGCGAGAGACAAGACTCATGATATCATGATCATCAAGTCTCAGTTTATTGTGACAGATTACACAGTTTATATATGTTCGTTAATTAGCTCATACATATTGCAAAAGCCGAGCTCATGATTGGTTGCTATGTGACTTGTACTATTATCTTAAAAGTATCTTTGTGAATGATACTTGCCTGTCCAGCTGGCCTTGCAGTTAGAACAGCTTAGTACTTCTTTGTTCTTCTCTATCTATTTCTACATACCAAGCAGTTTCAATATCCTGCTTTCTGCACACCATCTACTCTTCAGGGTCATGCAAACTTTGCAGCAGTCACGTAGCCCTCCCTATTTGGATTAATTTTACAGTATCATGTCCCCTGTTGTACAACCATTCCTCTGTCAAGCTCTCTTCACTGAATATAGCGAAAAACTTCACCACCAGCTTTGTAAGTCTAAAGTACTTTCTTTACACTTAAAATATATATATATATTTTGTAAGTGCCAAATAATGCCAGCGTGCACGCAGGCTTGGAGACTGCATGCCATCAGGGGAGGGAGCTTTACCTGCTAGAGGTTCCTACCCATATCTCTGTTGTAGGTTGTCTTCAGGGAAGGCAGTAATAGATATTTTCATGGTCCATCAACTTTTCCTAGGCAGTCTCAAAGCTGTAGCAGTTTCTCATGAACTCTCTTCAGGTGCTGCTGGCCTCAGTTGACAGGCAGGCACTCTCCACCTGCTGTGCACGGCTGTCTCCTGCCTGGCTCTGGGAGCAGCAGCAGCTCCAGGCACTGCAGGTTGTTCAGGCTACTGAAGACAGACTTATGGAAGTGGCAGCAAGGTTTCCAGTAGCAGCTGTGCTCCCAGTCTTTTCGGGGAGCTGCTGAAAGCTGTCCAGTCACTGTTGCCTTTCAGAGGTGAAGTTTTAGCAGACCACAACAATATCAGAGGCAGTTTCTCTTCCTTCTGGTCTGGTGTTTCCTGCATCATGTGCTTTAAGGTCTTTTCTGTGGATGTCTATTAGTGAGTCTTTCCATATTCTAGTTGGGAGGTTAAATCCCTGTGATTATTTCCCTGGAACATTGTCTTGCTTATTTTCAGCCTGCCTTTTTGACTCCCTTGTATCTTGCCTTCTCCTTTATGTTCTGCTCCCCTTGGTGAATTTGGTGTTCATACTTGTGCATCTGCTATAACATTGGAACATTGGGTGGGTTGGAAATAAGCTGTGGTTAAATCTGTTTCTGGCTCTGTGCAGTGTGAGGGCAGGGTACTTACCTGGCTGCAAGCCAGTTTCAGCTCATCTTGCCGAGGGATCTTCATGCTGGCTCCAATGGAAACTGCAGAAAGTACCTGAGTACTTGACTTCCTAGTTGCAAATCCTACAGAGATGTTCTTTACCCCTTTATAGAGTACTTTGAGCAGCTTTTATAAGCCAATAAATAAAATCCTTCAAAATTCAAGGGATCATGTGTGCTGATATGTCCCAGCTCACTGTTACCCTTGTGCCAGCACAGGCAGAATGAGCTGGATCAGGGCTGGTAAGTCACTTGCCAGGTGGTTATGTTGGGGCCAGGCCAGTTGACAACTATAACACAATTAAACATTTTGTCAGGGGATCTCCAAGCCAGCCAGTGGCAATCCCTGATCTCAAGCTTACAGGAATGTCATTCAAATAAACCTTCCACAGGCGTGATAAAACTGGGGAATAGGTAGCCTCATGCATACACCTATGGCCATGGTTGTTTCTTTGGTTACTCAAGATGTCCTTTGGTTTTTTTCCCAAATTTGGCTTTAATAGGCAGATTGTTTAATTCTGGAGCAGCAGACAGTTGCTGCTTGGTTTTCCTGGCAAAATGCTTTATTGTTGCTATGGGAATAGCCTTAGCGCTGTTACAGAGTCAGAATGACTCCTGGCTGTCTAGCGGGAGATCTGTTACACCACATTTGTGGACATTGAGAAATGAGTTGGATTGCCAGAATTTAAGGAAAGTAACTTAAAGCTTTCTTCCATGCATCATCCAGAGGACAAAACAGACTTAAGTGCTACTTCTGTAATGGGTGCAATTTCACTTTCATTGTCTCTGCTTTTTAAGAGTATCTTGAGCTGCAAATACAAGACAGAGCTGTGTACTAACTTACAAAATATATTTTGTTTTTTAGCTCCCAAGAAGATGAGCGACCTATGTCACCCTTCTATGTGAGGTATTTACTCCATTATTTTCATTTATTTTTCTGTGTGGGATTGACTCATTATTGGAATTTAATGTGGGGAGGGGTTCAGAAGTGCTGAACAGACTGTAATCAAAGTGAGCATTAATTTTACATTTGTAATTATTGCTCAGTTAGTGGGATGAGTCTTTGTAGTTATCATCTCTGTTGTGATTCTTTCATATTTAGAGAGGAGGCCCAGGGTTTAAGGTCTTTATTGCAAGATGGATGTGTTTTTCCTCTTTTCTTTGGTTTGTTGCATGTCTTAGATGCTTGAGTAGCTTATCTGCAGGCACAGGAGAGATTTTTGCTACAGGATTTGAGGAATTGACAGCATGTTTCTGCTCAGAAAGAAACCAGGAACCAGATGGTGAGTCAGCAGCCCATCCAGTTCCCTGCTGCAGCCTAGAAAAGCAGGAGAGTGCCTGGGTACCCAGCAAGCCTCATTGGAGGGAATGGTACTCATGCTGCATTTGAACAAATTGTTTCTTGTTTTGCCAGCTGCAGGGCAAAGTCACTGCTTGTAAAAGGGGTCTAATTCTGTTGACATCTGTGAAAGTTTGCTCTGCTTGTTTCAGTAGCAGGCTCAGTTCCAGTGCTTTCATTTATACTTAGTGGAAGAACAGGAGCCAGATCAATTAACAATGAAGGGCTGCAGAGGAGGAAGGGCCAGATATTATAATTGGGTTCTTTGATCTCTACAGAGTTTAAACAAATAAAAAGAAATCCCAGTGGTGCTTTTTGTGAGAACAGTGATAATTGGAATTCTTACAGCAATGTCTGAAATTTCTTAATCTCTGGTGTATATTCCTGTTTATCTTTGTAGCTTGTGTTTTTTCTTAAAGAATTTTTCTAACATGAAGCATAGAAAGAATGCAGTTAATGCCTACTGTGCAGAAATGGACTAGCCTGGTAGCATGATCTTGTCTGCCTTCCAGGCGATGCACCATCATTCTCTGCAATCCATTTGTGCAGATGTTTCCCAGTCTCTGCCTCAAAAGCTCCAAATTGTCAAAGGAGATTCTGCCTCTTCCTTCAGGAAATTATTTTGTAGATGCATACGTACATTGCCCTCTCTCCAATTTTCCCTAGTTTAAATCTTCTTCATATCTTTCCATTGAAAATTGATCACTCCTTTGTTTTTCTTTCTGGCTAAATGTGACCTTCAAATGGTTTTAGGGTTTCATTACATTTTCATCTGTCTTACTGCTCAGAACTGTCCTTCCAAGCCATTTCCTGGATTATAAAAAATTATCCATGAAGGAGATTCTTTTTGTCTGACCTTGTCAAGATCACCAAGGAAAGATGGGGGGAGCAAGGAGCGGACCTGAGAAAACTGATATCAAAGCAGGAGAAAGAAGCAAATTTGAACATATAAGAGATGTAGGCTTATAAGGGGGGAGAACAAAGAATGAGTGTGTCCACTGAAATGAAGGGATGGGTTTCCATGGGAATCTGTATTGCAAATAGGAAGGGANCGGGGAGCTGCTGAAAGCTGTCCAGTCACTGTTGCCTTTCAGAGGTGAAGTTTTAGCAGACCACAACAATATCAGAGGCAGTTTCTCTTCCTTCTGGTCTGGTGTTTCCTGCATCATGTGCTTTAAGGTCTTTTCTGTGGATGTCTATTAGTGAGTCTTTCCATATTCTAGTTGGGAGGTTAAATCCCTGTGATTATTTCCCTGGAACATTGTCTTGCTTATTTTCAGCCTGCCTTTTTGACTCCCTTGTATCTTGCCTTCTCCTTTATGTTCTGCTCCCCTTGGTGAATTTGGTGTTCATACTTGTGCATCTGCTATAACATTGGAACATTGGGTGGGTTGGAAATAAGCTGTGGTTAAATCTGTTTCTGGCTCTGTGCAGTGTGAGGGCAGGGTACTTACCTGGCTGCAAGCCAGTTTCAGCTCATCTTGCCGAGGGATCTTCATGCTGGCTCCAATGGAAACTGCAGAAAGTACCTGAGTACTTGACTTCCTAGTTGCAAATCCTACAGAGATGTTCTTTACCCCTTTATAGAGTACTTTGAGCAGCTTTTATAAGCCAATAAATAAAATCCTTCAAAATTCAAGGGATCATGTGTGCTGATATGTCCCAGCTCACTGTTACCCTTGTGCCAGCACAGGCAGAATGAGCTGGATCAGGGCTGGTAAGTCACTTGCCAGGTGGTTATGTTGGGGCCAGGCCAGTTGACAACTATAACACAATTAAACATTTTGTCAGGGGATCTCCAAGCCAGCCAGTGGCAATCCCTGATCTCAAGCTTACAGGAATGTCATTCAAATAAACCTTCCACAGGCGTGATAAAACTGGGGAATAGGTAGCCTCATGCATACACCTATGGCCATGGTTGTTTCTTTGGTTACTCAAGATGTCCTTTGGTTTTTTTCCCAAATTTGGCTTTAATAGGCAGATTGTTTAATTCTGGAGCAGCAGACAGTTGCTGCTTGGTTTTCCTGGCAAAATGCTTTATTGTTGCTATGGGAATAGCCTTAGCGCTGTTACAGAGTCAGAATGACTCCTGGCTGTCTAGCGGGAGATCTGTTACACCACATTTGTGGACATTGAGAAATGAGTTGGATTGCCAGAATTTAAGGAAAGTAACTTAAAGCTTTCTTCCATGCATCATCCAGAGGACAAAACAGACTTAAGTGCTACTTCTGTAATGGGTGCAATTTCACTTTCATTGTCTCTGCTTTTTAAGAGTATCTTGAGCTGCAAATACAAGACAGAGCTGTGTACTAACTTACAAAATATATTTTGTTTTTTAGCTCCCAAGAAGATGAGCGACCTATGTCACCCTTCTATGTGAGGTATTTACTCCATTATTTTCATTTATTTTTCTGTGTGGGATTGACTCATTATTGGAATTTAATGTGGGGAGGGGTTCAGAAGTGCTGAACAGACTGTAATCAAAGTGAGCATTAATTTTACATTTGTAATTATTGCTCAGTTAGTGGGATGAGTCTTTGTAGTTATCATCTCTGTTGTGATTCTTTCATATTTAGAGAGGAGGCCCAGGGTTTAAGGTCTTTATTGCAAAATGGATGTGTTTTTCCTCTTTTCTTTGGTTTGTTGCATGTCTTAGATGCCTGAGTAGCTTATCTGCAGGCACAGGAGAGATTTTTGCTACAGGATTTGAGGAATTGACAGCATGTTTCTGCTCAGAAAGAAACCAGGAACCAGATGGTGAGTCAGCAGCCCATCCAGTTCCCTGCTGCAGCCTAGAAAAGCAGGAGAGTGCCTGGGTACCCAGCAAGCCTCATTGGAGGGAATGGTACTCATGCTGCATTTGAACAAATTGTTTCTTGTTTTGCCAGCTGCAGGGCAAAGTCACTGCTTGTAAAAGGGGTCTAATTCTGTTGACATCTGTGAAAGTTTGCTCTGCTTGTTTCAGTAGCAGGCTCAGTTCCAGTGCTTTCATTTATACTTAGTGGAAGAACAGGAGCCAGATCAATTAACAATGAAGGGCTGCAGAGGAGGAAGGGCCAGATATTATAATTGGGTTCTTTGATCTCTACAGAGTTTAAACAAATAAAAAGAAATCCCAGTGGTGCTTTTTGTGAGAACAGTGATAATTGGAATTCTTACAGCAATGTCTGAAATTTCTTAATCTCTGGTGTATATTCCTGTTTATCTTTGTAGCTTGTGTTTTTTCTTAAAGAATTTTTCTAACATGAAGCATAGAAAGAATGCAGTTAATGCCTACTGTGCAGAAATGGACTAGCCTGGTAGCATGATCTTGTCTGCCTTCCAGGCGATGCACCATCATTCTCTGCAATCCATTTGTGCAGATGTTTCCCAGTCTCTGCCTCAAAAGCTCCAAATTGTCAAAGGAGATTCTGCCTCTTCCTTCAGGAAATTATTTTGTAGATGCATACGTACATTGCCCTCTCTCCAATTTTCCCTAGTTTAAATCTTCTTCATATCTTTCCATTGAAAATTGATCACTCCTTTGTTTTTCTTTCTGGCTAAATGTGACCTTCAAATGGTTTTAGGGTTTCATTACATTTTCATCTGTCTTACTGCTCAGAACTGTCCTTCCAAGCCATTTCCTGGATTATAAAAAATTATCCATGAAGGAGATTCTTTTTGTCTGACCTTGTCAAGATCACCAAGGAAAGATGGGGGGAGCAAGGAGCGGACCTGAGAAAACTGATATCAAAGCAGGAGAAAGAAGCAAATTTGAACATATAAGAGATGTAGGCTTATAAGGGGGGAGAACAAAGAATGAGTGTGTCCACTGAAATGAAGGGATGGGTTTCCATGGGAATCTGTATTGCAAATAGGAAGGGAACAGTCAGGAATAAACACATAGCTGGGAAGCGAGGAAATGGCTGGTAGGAGTAGAGAGGGAGCTGTACACCTTGATACACAGGCTTCTTGCCAAGCCCGTGTCTTTTGTAACATTGCTGGGATACAGTTACTTGTAAATAAAGGGAACAGGTTGTAAGTCTTGCTTCTGTTTGTAACACATCAGAAATCTGAGGTCAGTTGCCACGTGCGGTTAATTTGGCAGGAGAGCTGGTGCTGGCTGGGCAATTCCTGGTGCTTCAACAACTGAGAACTTGAGTGGGTGGCCAGTTTTTTCTGTGTAACTTTGAAAGTTCAAGTTGTTGCCCCAGAGGCTGTGCATGACATATGTAGAAATTGCATTTCACACCATGGGCAAGGAAGGGAAGACTGTCTGCTTTAGCTGTCTGGTGGTCAAATCTATTACTACCAGCCATACTTATATAGCTTGAAATACTGCTCAAGTAATCCTTCCAGTGAATCATGAATATTTGGGCACAGGGTGGTCACTGCTGTGTTAATGCAGTAATTCCATATAGATAATTATACAACAAATTAAATCAGTGGGAACAAGAGCTCTTTAGCTTCCAAACACTGCATAATACTTGGCTCTTGCCAGATGGAAGGAACATTGTGTCCCTCTGTCATGGTTTAACCCCAGCCAGCAACCAACTGCTTTGCTCACTTCCCCACCAGCAGGATTCAGT